TGTGGAAAGAGTGGGATTCTTCTGTGTAGGAACTGATTAAATGCATTACTAGCTTGCAGGAGAAAAGGTGTTTCACACAGTCAAAGCTCTTGTTTCACTAGCCCTGTTCAAAGTCCAGAGTTACTCTGTTGTTGCCATTTTCCTCTGTTGCACAATCTCAAAGTCTGAGTTTCAGTGAAGAAGAAAATGTGAGTTTGATGTTACTTTGAGATTGTCAGAGTTACTTCAGATTCATACTCATATAACTGAAAGCAAAATTCTCAGAAAGACTCATGCTAAGCTGTCTCGAAGGATCCAAAATCTGTTTTGAAAGCCCTTAGAAGAAAGTGCCTGTTTACTTCGCAGTATCAGCCGCATGATTAAAATTGAACTTTACACCTTTCAGTTTTACATACTGCGTACAGAGCTGCTGAAACAATGTCAGTTTGCTGGTGCTCCTGGGAGATACTGGCTTTTCGTATTTGATGCTGATGATCAAGCAGGTGGAAAGGAAGAATGAGGATCTTCTAAAGTTAGTTCCTCTCACTTCAGGAGTTATCTATGTAATGTACTGTCCCACCACTTCATGTGGTGCCTTAGGTTGATGGACATGGACTGTGAGCTGGCTGAAAAGAAGCTGGAAAACCTCAATAGAAGAAAGGAAGGCCCAGTCCAAAGGCAGACCTTGCCTGGCAGCTCTGTGCCCGATGCTGGGTGGCAGGCATGGCAGCATGAGTGGTCAGGCATCTCTGAAGGGGACTTTGAGATCTTGGATGAGAATGGCCACCATCTGCCCAGTTCCTGAGAGAAGCTTCTGTTTCATTGCATGCCGATGTTGTCCTGCTTCCAGGAGCTCATGACAAAGGTGGTGAACTAGAGTGAAGGACACATCATCCTGTTATGGTTGTTTAAGAGAAGGAAGTAAGTCAGAGGAGAAAAGAGAGGGTGGTGATTTGGTCATGTATGGCCACAAGTGAACTTTCAGATGATTCAATTTCAGCTGGTTGCACCAGGCATTCATCTGCTTCTTAAGGTTAACATTTGCACTTGTGATACAGGCTGATTAGCACAAATTGGACTTCAGAATTGATAAGATTTTACAAGTCTTGCAAATGTTGTATGATTCATCTTCTCTACTGCTTCCAGGCCTGTAAGGATGCTGGAGGTGAGGAGAAAGGAGTTTTACTGGGGAGTAACGAACTTCTGTTTCCCTTGTTATCCCTGCTCAATGTATCTGCTACAAGTGAAGAGTTACACAGAGCATGGCTGCCCCTTCCCTTCACTGCACCTAATCTGCAGCTGCACTGGCCGTGCCTGTGTTGTTCCGTAGGTAATTTCCTGCTTGGCGTGGAGGAACTTTTGCAACTGCTAGTTGCTTCTCATATATGTGAGTTACAAGTTATAGCTGATGATAAGTAATCAGAAAACTCTTGAGGTCATATAGAATTCAGCTTCTCC